AAACTTATTAAGTCTCTATATGGACTTAAACCAGAAGGACTTGATGCTCCAGCTGGTAAAGTTTGTAAACTTATTAAGTCTCTATATGGACTTAAGCAAGTACCGAAACTCTAACAAGAGAAGTTCGATGGGGTTGTTCGTAACAATGGGTATCAAGTCAGTGAGTCTGATAAGTGTCTATACATCAAGATCACTGAAGGAAAGGTGGTTGTTATCTGCCTCTATATGGATGATATGCTCATCATCGGGAGTGATTATGAGATAGTAACATCTACCAAAAAAATTCTATCAGCACAGTTCAACATGAAGGACCTTGGAACTACGGACGTGATTCTTGGAATCAAAATCATATACTTTAAAGAGGATATTGGATTATCCTAATCTCATTATGTTGAGAGCATGCTAAGAAAGTATGGCTACTACGACCTGCCAGAACTATCAGTGCCATATGATTACAATAAGAAGTTTCGACCGAACACTAAAAAACCAGTAGAGCAGCTAAGGTACTCAAAGATAATTGGAAGTCTTATGTATGCGATGAGCTGCACAAGGCCAGATATAACATTCGCTATAGGAATGCTTAATAGGTTCACAAGTAATCCTGAAAAGCTTCATTGGGATGTTGTCCAGAGATCGATGAGATACTTGAAAGAAACTATAGGTCTGGGCCTATTCTACACTGGATATCCGGCTATAATCGAAGGCTATTCAGATGCGAGCTGGTGCTCAGAACCAGATGAGTGCAGATCTACTAGAGGTTTTATCTTCACCATGGGTGGAGCTACCATATCGTGGAAATCTAAGAAGCAAACTATGATTACACAGTCATCGATGGAATCTGAATTCTTTACACTCTGTGCTGTAGGAGATGAAGCTGAGTGGCTCAGTTGTATTCTCCGAGACCTTCCATTGACAGAATTGCAATGCACAATTACTATCTATTATGATAATCAGGCAATGGGTGCTGTGGTAATGAACTCATTGTTCAATGGAAAGAAGTGGATAGTTCATCTAAAGCATAGGTATTTGAGAGAACTCATTTGCCAAAGAGTCATCTCGGTGATTGACGTTCGGTCTTAAAAGAATATGACTGATCCTTTGACTAAAGGTCTGAAAAAAGACATAGTCGAAAGGACGTCTGCTGCAATGAGTCTCAAAGTTTTATGAGTCTTACAAATACTTATCATGTTCATCAAATTATTAGTTCAAAGCCTACGCTACTAATAATAAGATAATTGGTTCAAAAGTCAAGTAAGATTTGTAAAGTTTGGTGAGTCTTATAAACACTTACCATTTATATCAAGCCATTAGTTTAAAGCTTATGCTACTAATGACAAGATGATTGGTTCAAAAGTCTTATAAGATTTACAAGTAAAATCCTATAATGATAAAGAGGATGGTTGTTAAGCCTTAATGAGTCCAAAGCATTTTGGATGAGGGATGTTGGATAGGTAACATGCTTAAAGGACTCACCGATGATCCTATCTTATAAAGGGGTTGGCTGTTAAGCCTTAATGAGTCCAAAGCATTTCGGGTGTGGGGTGTTAGATAGGAAACATGTCTAAAGGACTCACCTAGAATCCTATCACGAGAGAGGATGACTCTTAAGCTTTAATGAGTTCAAAACATTTCGGATGTGAGATGTTTGATAGGAAACATGCCTAAAGAACTCACCTATGCATGGGTGGAGATTTGGCTATCTCCTATGGTGTTTTGTAGAAAGATACCTAGAGTCCTAGTAGAAATCAGGATATGCACAGGGCCATAAATGTGCAGAGCAAAGACAAGTGTGGTTTAAAGTAAAAACTACCACAGATGAGTTTGATCTTGTGTGATCGCAGGATTTTAGACATGTGTTGACTCAAGTCTCTGTGACACCATGCATGTATCTTCTATTCAGATGGTCTAAGGGGGAGTCAAGTCCTTCCGACATCTACCTTATGCACAACGACATCATAACACAACACTAGTTTAAAAACTTGTGAGAGATTGTTAGATTTTTTTTGTCAAAACCGCTTTCCAAAATGTTTCAAACTATATATATATATATATTAACTACAAGTACTTTTCAGAAATACTTAGTAGCCTAGTGGAAAGTTAAAGTTTTGGTGTTTTAAAAGGTCCTATGTTCACGGTTTGCTAACGGTAAGCCGAGAAGTGTTTTATTTTAATTAATCCCTTATAAGTTCTAGTGGGCCGTGGGTCGTGGACCGTGGGCCAATGGGCCGGGGATCTGGGCTAATCGAGCTGAGGCGCTAAGTGGTGCTTTGTTAGGCGTACTTTGCACTTCACACAGAGGCATCGGGGCTAGGTGGCGCCACGTTGGCTGTCACTATGGTCACCACGAAGGTTGTCTCGCAGGATGCTTTGCAGCATGAGGACGAGCTATGTATTCGTATAAGGGTGTGACCCTAATGTTCTCGAATTCAGACGAGGTTCGTCGAGGTTCGTCTGATTCATAAGATCAGACGAGGTTCGCTCGTCAAATGAGATTCGCATGTTTGCTGAGGTTTGCCCGTTCGACGAGGTTCGCTCGTGAAATGAGGTTCGCCTATTTGACAAGGTTCGCTCGTCAAATGAGGTTCGCTCGTTAAACAAGGTTCGCCTGTTCGACGAGGTTCACTCATCAAATGAGGTTCGCCTATTTGATGAGGTTCGCTCGTTTGACAAGGTTCGTATGTTTGACGAGGTTCGCTCGTTCGACGAGGTTAGCTCGTTCGACGAGGTTCTTATGTTCGACGAGGTTCGCCCATTCGACAAGGTTCGTTCTATAGACGATGTTCGTCTGATTTGCTGAGATGTGACCCTCGCGTTTCGTACTAATGCGTCCATTGATTGCCTCGTATTCAGGAGTTACTGCATGCAGCAATTACAACGGTATTTAGAGTAATTTAATGCATTGATGTTACAATCATAATTGCCATTGTGAATTGTAACAGTCGCATTAATTGAGGGTGACTCTTAAGCTGGTCTTAGAGGCCTATAAATAGCGCCCCTTGGGCAGCTCTTGTAGTTCGCTAGAGATCTTGGAATACGAATGTCGGATCAAGGAGGTCTTGACGTTGTTGCTGTTGTTGTGTTGTTGCTGCAGAAACTATGCCAGCAATAACTTGCTCTGAAACCGAAAGGTTTTGAACCGAAAGGTTCTGAGATCGAGAAGATCTTTGCCTTGACCGAAAGGTCTTATAGATCAAGGAGATCTTGACAGTACTAGGTTGGTGCACATCAGAGTATTATACTGCTGTTCCTAAAAACAGTTTGGCCTTGGGATCATTGCACCGGAGTAGGCCAAATATTGCTTTAAGCACAGTGTTTCATAAACGCACAGCAATGAACTAAAAAAAATTAAAATTATAGCACATCAATTTTTACTGTTTTATTCCAGATTTAACCACAATTTCCAACACTTTGTGCGTATTCCTCGATGAGTGCCTAGGACTTGTATAAGAAGATTTTGGTGATCTACTATTGGCATTTGGTCATTCTTCTCTGATAATAGATTCTAAAGTCTCCCTACTTCATCAGAGAGCTGGTTGTCTGTTACACAATTTGATCAGTTTATGACTATTTGCTGGCGTGCCTACAGATATTGCTACTTAAATTAATGCCAAATAACATAGTATAAATATAACTTCAGTGGTAAATGATGCAATCTTCAGCAATTAATGACTACGTGCTTGTATGTCTACAGACATTTAGTTCATCTTCAAATAAAGGAAATGTTCTATAATTGCGATAGACATCAACTATCAAATATATAAATAATCTAAATGGTAATCAGAATTGCTTCTTAAATTAGTTCCAAGTAACATCTAACATAGGATAAATACAACTTCGATGGTAATGATGCAACCTTTGAAACTTGGTTCTGTTTGCGGCGCACCATGTATGGCACTTCTAAATAAATTTGAAAGAAAGCTGGCACCTGAACTGGAATTTAGCAAGGTTTGAAAACTTTGCTTGAGAACCCCATCAACAGTTTCAATTTTGAATTTCCAGGTTGTTATCTTTCAATTTTGCCATTTAAAGACAAAATTACAAGAAGTATTTGAAAACTATTTTGTAAATTTAGTGAAGCATGTATATCTGGTGCAGTACGGTTTTCTAAATTTTATAGTGGGACGGTTGGGGATAAAGCAAATCAGAGGTTTCGTTTGGATTCGAGGATTTAATTTTAAATTCCAGAATTGAATTCTGAAATTTGAAATCCAGAATTTCAAATTCAATTCCTTCGTTTGGGAAACCTTCAAGTTTAAATTCCAGAATTCAATTTGAAATTCATGTTTGACAAACTTTAGAATTTTAATTTTAAAAATTTCAATTGAGTTGTTTGCCAACTAGTAGAAATCTAATTTCTAAGCTAAAATTGTAGTTTGTCAACTAGTAGAATTCGAATTTCTAAACTAAAATTGTAGCTCGAATATAATTTAGAAATAAAATAATCAATCTACACAAGTTATGCATCAAAATTGGTAGAAATAAATGCTTCAAATAGTATATCGGATATCCAACTAACTTGACATGTAGATAAAATAGTTTTGTGCAGGTAGTATGAATTTTAAAGACAATCCATTACCTAATTTCCTATTATCAATGAAGAGACTAGCAAAAGATTTAGTTCCTCTTTCCTCATAGATTTCCTCATTTTCTTACCCTTTAATCTGATCTCGATCATCAGTTTCCTTGATTAAATCAGATACAAGATGAGGAATTTTTGAATTATCCTCATTAAAAACAGAATTATTATTTCCTGAATTCACAGATCTATCCACAACATCATTCTTCTTATCAAATTTCAATGAAATAATAGCCTTATCTGATATCGATTCTGAAATATTTGAGGATGATCCAAGAACTCTTGTTGATTTTGAAGAACTCTGAGGAAAAGAAGAGATTACCATAAAAATAGTTGACCTAATAATCACCATAAAAATTACTCAAATCATTCATCAATAAAGCTTTATAAACTCATCCATCACTAACTATAACAACAAACAAAGTAAAAAACTTTAAATATTGCATATAACAATTCAACAAACCAAAGATCCAAAATATCCAACAAATACAAAGCAATAAGAATTAATAATTCCCCATTATATAGTGTCATGCTTAAATTGCTCCCGTACTAGTTTCTTTAAAACTTTTACATCTGATTCAAATGAGCGTTTATTTCTAATGCTTACACACTTTTACTTTGTATTTCTCATTGTAGCTTTCTCTCCTTGGTTCAAGAAGTCCTACTTTACGAGGTTTTGAATCACCTGAAACAACAACAAGAAGACCAAATTAGCTCCATTCTTAAAGACCATGCAAACTAGCAATAGAAAAGAAATCATGTTCTATTTAGATTATTAGGAATCACATTCTATTTCAAAAATCAAAATGTTGTTTGTGGAGGAGTGTTGTAGACCGCTTATGTTATTTTTTAAAATCAAATTGTATGGAAAAAAGTTCAAAAATGTGATACTATAAAGGGTCTATGTGCAATTAACTCTGTTCTAAAAGGCAACAGAAAGCATCTATGCTAGTTGGGAGATAAACCTACTTGCTTTTCATATGCCTTGCATCTACAAAAAAGAATGTAACAACAATTTTGCTTGTAGTTCAAGTATTGACAAGAACTAAAAACAAACACATGTGGAGAGTTCAGTTTAACTCCTCATTTGGAGATAGTAATCCCTTTGCCTTTTTTAAAAGGATGCATTAAAAGAAGTAGAGAACATAATGTTCAGTACGGCAATATCTGAAATAACTATTGATGACGATTAAGTTGAATTTTATATTTAGATTTGTTTCACTAGACTACCTGAAGTATTACCTGATTCATAGGATCCTTTTGAGCTCTAGACCACTTGGTAGACATTCACCCATCAACATATAAAAATAAAAGCAAGATCATCTAGGTTGCTCGGACACGACGTTTTGGGTGCTATGTCCGTGTTTGACACATATTAGACACGGATTCTCAAAGTAAAAACCAATTTCCCCTTATTTATTTCATAAACTAGTTTCTTTGGTAATATCATATTCAAAACCAATCGGTTTTTTGAGCCTGAAAACTAGCACCCATTACTTAATTATTTAAAAAATACCATTGTATTATCTCATGCGATCAAAACTAAATTTTTATTGTTAAACCTCATTCTTAGTTGTATTTAACTCGATTAGTAATTGTTTTTTTTTTTGGTCAATGAAAATTTCATTCATCTCCAATATGAAAATTTCTGTACATCACTGCTCAGTTTAGAACTGAGAATACACTAATAGAAAGAAACATACAAATATTATATGTATTTGGATTCAATATTTGATCTAATGTAAATTTTATACACACACATAGTTGTGTCCCCTATCCTGCATTTTATAAATTTGTCATGTCTCGTATCCATATCTGTATCTGTGTCCATGTTTGCACCCGTGTCCGCTACCTAGAAGATTATATAAAACACTAATTTATAGAATAAGGAAGCAATTTGAAAGCTTTATATTTTGCATGGAATCAAATGAAAAAAGGGGAAAGCCTGATCTTCTAGTCAAATTTTATAAATATGCTCAGTATCTAAAAAGAAAACAGAAGTTGTGCAAGTATTCATGCTCAATGTCATTTGTAATTTTCTGCACATGAAAGGAGTGAGTAAACTGAAGGATGGATAGAGGTAAGTAATCATGAAACATCAAGAAATTGTTAACTTAACTCATGCCATGAAATTCTCATTCATAGACCATTGTACCTAATTTTCTTGACTATTTAACTGAACTAGTAGAGAACTTGCAAGAATCAACAGCTTTTCTGGTGAACAGATCAATAAATATTAATTATTATCACTAGATGAGATTCTAATCATAGATTTACTCCAAAATTTAACTTTAGATCCCAATGAGCATCATGTGTAGCCTGGTAGTAATATGACATGATGATGAAGTAAAAAAGGCAAAACTTTGAATCATTTGGATTTTTTTGCAACCTAATGCGCTATATTAATGATAAAACCAAAAACAAAAGTAGTACAACCATAACATCCATGAAGCAGGTGCTTCCATCAATAATATACAAGTAAGTATATACAAGTAAATATAAGATTTGCAAATATGTTGGCAAACTCTTTCACCATGATGCATGGATAGGATTCCCACGCATAGAATAGATCATTCAAGTGCCAAATCTGATTGCAATATTAATTTTAACTGAATCATGCAATCATGGGCTTTTCTCACCATAACAAACTTGTATCATTTTGTACAAAATTAACTTCATATCAGGTTATAAATCCTTGTTAGCAATATCGTAGAAAAGAAATGTGCACACCATCAGTCTTCTACCTCTAACAACTATTATTGTGCTTCATAATTTATCAGGCTTTAAATGTCATTCACTGCTTCAATCCCAAATAGAGAGCTATAGATAATTTTTTAGAAAATGTAGTATGAGATGAAAATTAATAGCAAAGCTCCAAATTGTAAAATTTGGTAACATAAAACCATGAAGAACTCATTACCTTGAGCACGATGGTCAATTTTCAACACAATATCAACAAACAGTTGTTGCAGCAGATGGAACCTCTAAGATTAAGAGCTTAATGCCTACAACAACAACAACAACAATTACCTTGATGCTCCACGTAGAAAAGACTGCAAGTTTGTCCTTAAGGACTAGATAACTTCAAGAAGGGAAAATCTAATATAAAAATTATGTAGTCCAGAGGACTAATCAAAGGCTTATACAATTAAGATATTTGCTAACAATGAAAGTTATATTAGCTTTTCAAACTATGTGAACCTACTATCCCTTGAAAAATAAGGAAATTTACCAACTCTGATGCCCTTTCACCAGCATCTTTCATCGCCAACATGATTGAACCATAAAACTTTAATAACATAGAGATACATAGAACCTCCAATTCCTTGTTCTTTACCTTCAAGGGCCTCAATTCAATTTCTTTTGTTTTTTGACAATTTCACTTGGTTTAGGTATAATCAGGACAAAAGGGCATATTTCTTTTATATCTCTTATGTCACAAGTATCACAAAGATATGCTACATTTGGATGGTTTTTGTGCACCTAAACATTAATCATCACTTCAATACAAGGAAGCTCAAACAATTTCCAAAATAATCAGCATCAAACTTGAAGAGAACTTCAGAAATACAAGGAAAATTGCCATAGAATGGTGATGCCATACAAAAAATGCTCCAATACAAAGAACATATCAATACAATATAGGGAAATGTAAGATAGAATAGAGACCATTGGCCTTTCTCCAAGAAACATTGTTATTGTTAATATACAACTAAAATGCTAAAAACCTAAGATTGAATATAGATGCTCAGGTTTCACTTGTTACTACTACATACAAGCATGAACAATAAAAAAAAGAGTTTTTACCCAAAATTTTAATCAAGTCATGAACTAGTCACTCGTCATCAATGTTACTTATATTCATGCTAAAAGAACATGGAAATCTACAAACTTTAGAATTCTTCCTCAATATAAACAACTCAAAACCTAAAGTATGAAACTTCGATACCTGAACTCGAGGCTACATCGACCCTTGACCCCTATCTCTGGCAATCGCCGACTAAACAGAGTCCGTCCTCCCTCGCACTTGAACTTCACTGTCCCCCACGCGATCGATTACCGAGGGAGAGGGGTTGGATCTAGGGTTAGGGTTTCAATGGAAATGGAGAGAGATAGAATCGAGAGGATGCTCGTGAGGGTGCTCGCGAGAAAAATCCATGATGGAGGTGAAAGAGAGAGGTTGGATCTAGGATTAGGGTTTCGGTGGAGAAGGAGAGAGAGAATCGAGAGGGGGCTCGCGAGAAACAATCACGCTCAGTCTCCCAATCGTGCGTGAAAGAGAGATAGGGATCACGAAATTGGAAATGACACCAATATGCGTGTAATTTGAAAGTTATGACTCATTATAGTTTTAAACTTCAAATGGATTTGGACCAAATCCAAATTCTCAATTACTAGTATATCCAAACACTGTAATTGGCTCAATTATAGAATTTGAAATTAAATCCTTGAATCCAAACAGACCATGTTTACATGAATCATCTTATATTGAAGAAAATCCTAGTTTAGGTGGGAGCTAATTTGTTTTCTTTTTGCATCAACCTGGCCTACAATGGATATCATCATAGTATTTTTCTTTAATTAGTTGATTTGCTTGGATTTGAGGATTTTATGAACATATTAAAAATGCTTTATCCAACATAAAACCAGACCTTAATCTTCTTTTTCTTCTTTTGTATTGTTTCCAATTCTTTATTAATATGTGAACATAATTTCTTCCCATCTTTCTCATTCTCTCATAATGTATACATTTGTTCATGTTGTTTCTTCGCCAGTCCTTTTTCCCCCTTCTTTTGAACGGAGGCCATAGCGGTCTTTGAACTGATAGCTTCCATAACCTAAAAACACTACTTTAACCCTAAGTCAGGCCTCAATGTCTATGTTGATGCACATTCAAGTACACAAGTTAATCGGGTCTATAAGATAGATATGAAGTGAAGTTCAACAACTCAAAGGAACTACATCAGTCAATTGCAGGTCCATGCCGATCATGTTGAGTCGTCTACCCACAACTTGCTCGCCTCCTAAAGCTGAAATGTCTTCCCAGTTAATCAAATGTAGGATGACATTCTCCAACATTTTGATGACTTTTTGTCAACTACTAGCTGATATATTGGCTTAGTTTCAGATTGGTCCCCTATGAGAAGATTACTAATGGTCCATGGACGCTAGTTTTGGCCAAAGCTTAAGACTAGAAGAGCAGGTCTTGATTTTGCAACGCTTCAAAAGCAATGGAATGTGTCCACTACAAGCTTACACTTGCATCTCTGTCTATGTCGGAGTATATAACAAGATTTTAAATGTAAATACTACAGGAATCAAGCTTGATTTTTCTCCGAAAGTTCAGCTATGCAGAACAACAGAAAAAACATGTAAAATCTGCTAGCTTGAACGTCAGCAAGACAAAGCAGCAAAGAGTAAGAGCGTTTTGAACCCATATTAAAAGGTAATCCAAGGCAAGATGAAGATCCTCTATATTGATGGCCGCAACAGCAACTTATTATTAAACATGCCTAGATCATCGCAGCCTAAAGGTAGCATGTTATGACAAATTCCCCAGGATAAGCTAATATCAATCACACGAGAGCACAAAAAATATCAAGAACACACGAACACAAAGATATACGTGGTTCGGCTTGTAGCCTACGTCCATGGGCGAAGGAGGATAAAAACTTTACTAATTATGAGGAATACAAAGTGAAATTTCTCAATCTCTCAATCACTCAATCCTAAATAACAATTCAAAATTCTAATACAACTCTCAACTAAAGGAACAAAAGAGAAGAATATCAAATAGGCTTCACAAAAGAACTCTCTCTTCTTGATTGGTGCTCTGAAGATTGATGCATCTAATTGGCTTAAAAAACTGTTCTTATATAGCCTTGAAGGTCCCAACTCCCTGTTGTCTAAGGAATAAAAGTTCTAATAAGAATAGAAGTCAACGTGTCCTAAGACCCGACAAGAGTCCAAGTAGAAATAAACCTCTAATATGATTGGTTATGCAAAGTCTAATGTAAGTAGGACTCTTGATCAAAATAAACTAACCTAAAAAGGAACTCCCAAAGTAATATGGATTTGAGTATTTGAGGCAACATTTAACAAATCTCCACCTTGACTCAAATGCGTAGAAGATTCCTCATTCTAAAATAAGCTAATTTACTCCACCTTCTCCAATAGCCCCACAAGCCATCTAAGTGCGGCACGTATCGATCAAGTCCAAGCCCGGCTTGAACTTGCTAACTGAAAGAGGCCTCCTCAACAAATTGACTGAATTGTTCCCACGATGACTGTAAATATTAGCGAAATCATCACCTGAAGTAGCTCCTGAATAGCTGAAGGGCACAAAATTATCAACCGACAATGCATAAGCTATAGTATCATCATATCTTTACGGTGGTCGGATATCTCGTCTTGACCGATCTCTAGCAATAGTGTATTCCCGCTCTTTTTGCAGCTGCTGAGGTGCTTCATCTATGAAGAGCTGAATCACGAATTTCTAACTCCACATTATGTCCTGTAGTGCGCGCATTATCAACAACTGAAACTGATGACCGTTTCTAGTGGAACATAGCAGATTCATCAAAAATAACATCACGGCTAATAATAATCTTAGGAGACTTCGGATCAGGACACCACAACCTAAAACCCTTAACACCTGATGCATAACCTAGAAATATGCACTTCTTTGCTTGCGGCCCAAGTTTCTCTTGACTAACATGCGCATATGCAGGGCAACCAAATATTCTAAGATAAGAACATAGTAAATTGATGTAAAACATTAACGCCAAAGTGGACATCACAGTAGTTCAGTTGAGGTGAAATAGAGTCAGACTCAACTGCACTTGTTGGTTTCTGTACACAAGAGAACACTATAGGAACTAGATACGTAATGGTACTATTCATCTTTACTTCTTTAAGCTAATTCTGTTTTCTTATGCATGTGCCAATTTGTTATCCCAACTTTAATATATTGCCACATCCATCTCAACACTCTCATTTTGATGAGTACATTGTTTCATAACTTCTAACATGTGTTGTGCCCCATGCTTGTACGGACGGGTATGATTTCTTTGGTTAGCGTATCTCGGTTTCATCTCATTTTGATAATTCCCTCAGCATCTGATAAGCAGATAATAGGGTTTTCTTCCGTCGGATAGTATAGAAATTATTTGGTATACTATTGCACGATAGTTAAAATGAATTATGAGAGCACATGTCCTATAACTGAACAAGGAAGGAATTTAGATTGCACGTATACATGTTGCACTGGACTTGAATCCTATCCTCCCCATCATATACACGTTGTAGTGGACTTGAATCCTATCCTCCCCACCAAATCAGTATATTTGATAAGCTCAAACTTGTCAATTGCTCTTTTTTAGTACATTGCTTTGTAACTTATAATAAACTACTATTACAGTAAGAACATGCTAATTGTTCAACAAACAAAACCTGAACAGAATTAAAACGAAACGCTTCACTCAGATATGCCATACTGTATAAAGATTTGAAAATTCAAAACACATATAAGCATAAAAATTAAAATATTAAGGTGTCTGCTTTCTCACTGTTCTTGCTCTCTTCAACCACTAGCTTCTGGCTTTCATCGTACCTTGTTTGCAACTCAATTCTGCAATTCAATAACACAAAATCCCACATTTTAAACATTTCAATAAATACATTTAAAGAACAAGTCATGAATTAACACTTACATCTCAGATCGCAACCGGTCGTTCTCAATTCTTTCTCAATCTCTGCAAACAATTCCAGATCTCAAGCCCTAAACTCCCTAAAACAAAAAAGATTGGGAAAATTTTCAACAAATACCGAGCTGGTAGCTTCTAAGTGTAGCGCTCGTTTATGGCTCAACTCCTCGTCGATTAACTTCCTCTTCTGAAGAAATTGCGCCCACAAATTAGAAAAAGAAAGGGTCTTTTTAATTTTCTTGGTAAGAATTTGAGACAAAGGAATTACCTTTAAGCCACATCTGGGTTGGTAAGCGGCAATGAAATGCAATTCCAACTTTTTATTCACGCGTACCAATAATTTTAGACGTCAAAATTACTATTCTCATTTCCTATTCTTTCTCACTTTACATGGGAATTGTTATTCTCAACCATTTGACAAGGAATTGATATTCCTACTTAAGTGAGAATAAAAATAAACAAATAATTTCCGATTATATCCTCCTTAAAAGATACGAATATATATATAAATTCACATATGAAAAATTATTTCTATAAAAATAATATCATTAGCTGCTCGTACAAATATATAAATAGATGTAAAATATTAAAATACTATTCTTTGTTCTACTTTACTCTAGTTCTATCGCATCTGCAGTAGAAAAAAATCTCATCTCTCGCCTCGATGCAACTCGGTTAGGTAACCATTATTTCTTTTTAAAATATGTATGCGTAGCTAATCTTTACCTAATCTTTATAGCAATTTTTTTATCTTTTGGCGACTCAGTTGTGTAATCCGTTAGCAATTAGGTTAGTACATATTTGATCGTTGGATGTATGATTTGAAGTTCCATTAAAGCATATGTGCCTAATCTTTTCAGTAATTTTTCAAATCATTCACAACAAGAAATGTGCTTAATTGATGAGATTGGAACTTTATATTATGATTAGAGATTAACATGTTTTCTATTCCTTCAAATTTTCTAGGTTAGCATATTTTCTACTCCTAACCAATAGTTTGAAAGTTAAAGTTGCATTTGAAATTTCATAGAAATTTTCTATATAGACTAAAAGTTAACATGTTTTTCTAATCCTTCAAATTTTAGTATTTTCATCTCTCTCTTTATGCATGCACATGGAATTCAGTCATAAATCATGCAGCATGCATATGGAATTCAGTCAATTGTATGCGTTTGTGCACAGTGATGCTAGTAGCATTAGCTGCTCATACACGTAGTAGACATGTATTATTAGAAGTTAGAAATGTAAAATTATAATTATTTATAATCAAAAATAGTTTCTATGAAAATTATTTTTTAATTAGTAAACCAAAAGTCCAAAATTATTGCTGAGGCGGTATACCAAAATATAACTATCAAATGGGAAATTGTTTCTATAAGAAAAAATATCATTTCTATAAAACTTATTTTTCTAAAAAAATAAATTATTTAATCATTTTTAAAATATTTTTATGTTTTTAAAATTTTGTGTTTTTATTATTAGAAAACTAAATTTTACTCTCACTTGTGAACAAATGATACCAAACATGGGAATAAGAACAAGATTGTCATTCCCGTTTCATTCTCTAAACTCGCCCAAACTTGAGAATGAGAATACACATTCCATTCACACATCTATTCTATTCAATTCCTACATTCTTTTCATTCTCACTTGATTCTAATCCCACGTACCAAACAAGACGTTAGATTCTGGTACTTATCATAAAGCTTGGAATTGAATTGCTCCATCTGGTGCCCTAGAAAGATGAGAGAATCCTATGGTTCGGTAACTAAAGAATTGTAGAAGGGCTAGCTGCAAAAAGTGAAGAAGAGGAGATTAGAAAGTAGCGGGAATGCAACTTTTGAAATTTTTAGACATTAATTTTTGTCTAAATGACATAAAAATACCACAATGTTTTTACTATGTAGCACAAAAATACCATAAGTTATATTTTTCAGCAAAAATATATTATAAAGTTTCTCCTGTTAGAAAGCCCTGAAGGCCAAAAATGTGAGATGACCTTGATAGCCTCGTCGTAATTAATCACAGTAAAAAAACCTAATTCTCCTCTTTTTCCTTATTACGTTACTTTCTCTAAAATCTTTAACCTGCTCTAATTTGAGCATTTTGAGGGCGATTTCTCTAATTCATTGTTGTTATAGGCTGCAAGTTAACCAAGCATTAATCAATAGCTGGGAATCCGACATGTGTCCCGCTCCATGCTTAATCAGATTACTCTGACAACCGACAACTTGAGTTATTCCAGCGGCTGACTCCATCGACTAACAACTTGCGTGGCCGACAAGAAATCCGATACTTGTCGACCTTTTCTCCAGGTCGAGCCTAGAAGACTCCACACTCGACCAGCTATATCATCTAACAACTCACGTAACCGACTAAAAAGGTGTATTTGTCGGCCTTCAGCCAGACGACTAGAGAGGCGGTGTGTCCTCCAACCCCCTGCTGACAATCAACTACCATCGCATTAACTGCTCTGACAAAGTCATCATTGTTCTAGCCCTTATAGTTTTCATGACTCATCAGACCTAATCAGCATCAAGCAACTGCTGTCGGCTTTGCACTAACTACTTAGATGACTCATCATCGTTTGTAGCTGACACCCGTAAAACACCTGCTGGGTCCGCTGATTACCTGGACTAGCCCTAAATTACCTTTTTGCCCTTCCGATTTGCTATAAAAGGACGCTGCATTGTACGAGGTAACTTCTTCTACTCCATGCAACTCTGAAACTCTAGATTAATTTCATCACTTATCTTATATGTCTCCACTCAAGCTCAAATGCTGACTTGCTCGTTGGAGGAACCACCAGAGAACCCAACTCTGGCCCCTCACGAGTTCTTCATATGCAGGAAAGAACAGCGGGCCCTAGAGCTAGTCATTTGAAGGAGCTTGAGGACCCAAACATGACCATAATCCACCCGTAAACCCTCTATTTGATAACTGGCATCAACAACCTGAGATCTGTAATTTGCTTTGGAATTGTGCCTAGAAAGCCCTAATTTCACATTGCAACAGGTACACCCGCGCTCAATATAGTGGTTTTAACTTGGATTTGGGGGAAATGGTCATTGCTTAAAATTATGGTTTTGATGTGTTTTTCAGTGTTTTTGTAGCTATTGTTTATATTAGTTTGATTTTGTTTGAACTTATGAATGTGAGGTGGTGGTGGGTAAAATAATCTATTTTGCTTTATGTTATAGGATGTCAGCTAAGGTGAAAGTATAAATACATCACAGGGGGAGCTATTTAAAGTTACAAAATGTTAAAGTATGTTGAGCGGAAGGAGAAGATTCTCCTGGTTGATAAAGAAAAGTTATCACGAGACCACATTTGAGGGGGTTGTTAGAGCAATGGTGTACAAAGAAGAATTGTGAATCTTTGTTAAACCCCATTTAGTGCAGTTGATAGAGGTCTTAGGTTGGTTTAAGAGATTCTTGCCTAAGACATGTTATGATAAGGTAAATCAACCTCCACACAAAAAGAAAGGCAGGGAGAGACCTAAAAACAATAGGACAAAGGGACGAAATGAGCTATACAATCAAGATCAAATTATAAGATATGGTCAACTAAATGCTTGCCCTAAGTGTAAAAAAAACTGGGCATAAACTGATGTGTAAATCTCAAATAGGGTTTGATACATACTAATTTAACTACACTATAGTATTCTACAGGTCAAAGGAACTATTAATTTTGATACTAGAGTTGGATCACTAGGAGTTGGTCAAAGTGCTCAACAATCAAGTATATATATGCATGTTTGGTTATTCAATCATGTACATATTTATACAAGTTATAAACTGATGTGAATTGTATGTGTAATATAGGTGGAGTAGGAGCTTCTACTTATATGGGTACATCTGGAGGTATAATATCATTCTGTAGCAATTTTGTGCATTCGTGGTGTAGCATTAATTTTCAAGTTTTAATTATTATCCTCAATTCAGTAATAGGCTACCATAAGCCAAGGATATATACAGAAAGAATGTAATACTAGGAACGTTTCTGCACTACATGAGCATTAAACAAGCAGGAAAATAGTACGCAGGCCTAGTACTGTTGCTCACGGGGGTTTTAAAGGCAAATGTGGTTTTTCTGGGAAGACAAACTATATGGATGTTGAAGCAGCGCGGAAGTTGTAGCCTCGGAATCCACCAAAGACAATATTCGAATCCACGAAGAGCTTCGAATCCACGAAGTAAATATTAAAGAAAAACAAAATTTTATTAATCAAAAGTTATGCCTCTAGGGCTTACAAGACTCTTCTTAAATAGAAAAAAGAAACAAGACTCCTACAAGAACTCAAACTCTACCAAAAATAGTAAAAGAATTCCTAAAATATTAAAACTCCTAAAAAGACTCCTTATTACTAGGAAAGTCCACATGTCAAATCTGAGATCAAATCGGATTTGTTCCCTAAACAAAACAGACTCCTAAAATATTACTAAAAATAGAAAAAAACGGATAAAAATGGTAATATCTCTCAAACCGTAAAGAATTTGGCGAAACGGTTTGAAAGTTACGGCCGTTTCTTCGAAACTAGTTAATTTCTTCGACCAGGCCCGCATTTGGGCTTGCGACTGTCCCACTTTGACATAAATGTGTCTGCTGTGTGTTCTACATCAGATGTCAGTTAATAAAATGATCCCAACATACTCTCGTGTTGATCCTTCACAAAGTAATGTTCATGCTGCTACAATTTTAAGGCCAACACAATCTGTGAGGAGACCAAAAATTCTCTTCAAGAAGTCTAATACGATCTTCAACCTCCACACAGTCTGATGCTCCAACTCTATATTTCGATCCATTTTCAAATCTGACAAGGAGTGTTCTCCAGGGAAGTGATGATCAGCAGCCATAGCATCAAAGAAGGGTGTAGGAGAGAATCCCGTCAGAAATAGTAGTGTTTAGTGAATACTTGTATTATATTTCCGTGCTTGAGTCAAACTCATGCTATGTTGATTCAGTTACGGCATATTTTGTCTCAATTATGTACGTACTTCTTTTGATCTTGAAATTGCGGATATGTTGGTATTTTGTGAAAAATGTCCCTATATATGAAAGATACATATTTGGTGTATGAAAAGTATGCATTTAGTTACATGCTTGTTATTGTGGTTGCTTTATATGAAAGCTTCAGACTTATGTACTTGTATATGGAACCGTAAGCTTTCGGTTAAATGTTTATCGTGTGTATGGACATAATACATGTACAAAAAGTTGAAATATGCTTGTTGTGATCTT